ATTAATTGGTATGTTTGTCTTTTTTTTATCTTATTATTATTATTTTTTTTCTTGTAACCTTTATTTCTTCCAAAGAGTTCTACAAATATTTGTGTTTTTTTAAGTTAGCATTATCTTTTCCCCATGTGTATGATGATAGTGTTATATAATGACCTTATCTTTTCCATTTCTTAATCCTTTGAGCGATACAGTGTCAAGTCCACCTAGTATTCCCACTAGGAGGATTATTGAGCCAAAAAGCCTTTACTTTACAAATTCCAGTTCCCTCAGGGATGAAGACCAGCCACACCATTTGCTTCATTACAAACCATCATTGTTTTTTTTTTTTTTTTTTTTTTTTTTTTTCAATCAGTCAGTGGGGCAGATTGCTGATAAGGGTGCACTGCTGCATCCACCCTCATTTCGCCATTAAGGCCTTCTTGGTGAACCACCAGCAGATTCATGTCCGACTCTCCAATTTCCTTTGAAAATTTTTGTCCCCAAGACACAAATTTCTTGTTAGAATCGCAGCTTTCTCCACCAGTGCTGTCATAGAGTAAATAACAGGTTGGCAAGATCATCCTCAGGGAGTCAAGGTAATGTCCCCTGAACCATGCAAGAAATAGGTCCTACACCTTTCATGGCACAGTTGGATTGAGTACTGGTTCTACCAAAGTTGTTAGTTGGGCATGAGGGTTTCTACCATGGTACGCCCATAATTCAACTTAACCTTACACCCTTAGCCTGCTCACTAGCTGTGGGAAGTTTAGCCCGCTCCGGTGGGTGGTTTGCAGAAAATCGCTAGCTCTGTTTGACCTTTAGAACATGTGTTTACAGGTTATTGTAGCTATAGAGTATGTCAATGAGTATATTATTCCTCTTATATGGCAAGTAATACTGCACAGGAAAACACCGCAGCTGCTGCACATCACCTAGTATCCTTCTACAATGGTGATTCTTGCAGCATAGCCAACATTTCGTCCCCCCCCCCCCCCACCACCGGAAGGTGTCTGAACTTGTATGTTGCATCTGCTGGGATTCCTCCTTATGTTCCTGGGAGGAAAACATTAAGATCCAGGGCTCCACATGTAGTTGCAAAAAAAAAAGACAAAACTCTGTTCAAAAAAGGACACACAGAATGAAAATCACCACACTTTGCAATCAGAATACAAGAAACATAGGTCAAATGCTTACTAGTTTGTCTCATCAAGAATCTTTTGTAACAACTCCTGTGCAGAAGTGGGCAAAGATATCTAGGATGATCAATTGCTTCATCCATGCTGGCATAGGCACCAGAAGTCCTGTGAAGTGATGGCACTTCAGAATGTCTCCTTCTCCCAAAATGAAGAAGAAGTTCTCAGCAGTGTTTTCTCCCTTGCGATGCCTTATGTACTCGACGAGAGGCACGTATCAGCTGCTAGCAGATAATCTGCATCCAAGCCCATGCCGTTGTCCAATTCCTCATCACCATTGAAATCATCATAGACATCTGTAAAATACGGAAGAAAAACATGAGTTCTTTGTAAAGAAAAAAATAGAGATACAAAGCAAAAGCAAAGTTTTAAGTCCCCAAAAGAGCCACGTGTTAACATAAAGAATAGTAGAAATCTTACCAGAGAGATCACTTGTCCTTGACATTTTTATTGGGGGCGTGTAGTCATTGATATCACCATCATCGACATCCTCATCAGAAGAATGGCAATACAGGTACAGATGCTGGTCAGGAGCATTCCTCAGGCAAGAAACACCCCTGGAGGTCAAAGGCTGAGGGTCATCCACCGTCTCCTTGAAACTCAAGGATTGGACGGTGTGGGTGGGTTCCTTGGCTTGTGAGATCACACAGTAAAAAGCTGGCGAGACATGCTTGACAAAATTTAGCTGATGAGTGATTACCTTGTCCTCTCCCTGACCTTTTACACCATTTTTCACAGGTTTTCAGCTAATCCGCTCTCACCTCTGTATTCCATGTCATGTGAGTCATATGACAGGTCATGTGAGAGGTAACATGGCAAAAGCACAGGAATCTGCTAAATACTGCCAAACAACTCAATAGCCACTGCAAGTGCCCCAAAAGGGCATGGAAAATCACGCAACAGACATGAAAAACACATTATATTATCAAGTAAAATGGTGAGAAAATCACTTGATATTGTCACATGAAATGGCATGAAAATAAATTGACCTGATGTCATCAGCAAGAAACCTCTAAAACTGCAACCTTCCTTGGCATGTCAAGTGGCACAAAATAATATAAAAAATTATAGAAAGACCTCAAAACCAGGGATTCCACAGTGACAGCCATCCCTTTCACCATCTGAGTCTTACATACATGGACACAGATACACAGACTTAAACACACATGCACAGAATTGTAGGTAGAGATTTCCACAAACGCACAGTTACACATGCTGACACACACACAGAACACACACACATGCACGTGAATGCACATATTTCTACAACTACAATTACACACATTGACACATGTAACAAAAAACACACACTTGTACATGCACAATTTCCTACTTACACACACACACACACACACACACACGCACACACACACACACACACACACACACACACACACACACACACACACACACACACACACACACACACACACACACACACACATGGCCCACACACAAACACACATGGCCCACACACACACACACACACACACACACACACACACACACACACACACACACACACACACACACACACACACACACACACACACACACACACACACACACACACAAAACTACCCCCTTACACACACTTGCACACATACAACTACCCTCTTATACAAATTTGCACACACACACGGCTGTCAAAAACATTTAACCAAACTCACAATGGTACACTATAGTGACTCAGAGCCCAAGTTTATAATTTACTGTAGATTTGCTAAGAATGACTCCATACCGCTCAGGTCTCTTGTGCCTCAGAACGTGGTCTCTGATATATCTCAGAAGAATGAGAACAAGCTTGTATGTTGAAGAGTGTAATGCCTTGATGTTTTCTACTGCCCCAGCTTTCCTGTGTCCCCAACCTGATATTGGCAACCTTATAATTAATAGGTTGATTGCATGTAACCTATATTTCTTGTTGATCTTTAATTCATTTTGTAGTACTGTTATGTCACAAAAGAAAAGTTTTTTTTTTTCTGAATTATCACTATTATCCATTTCAGTTGATGCTCTTGGAGGCAGTGGTGGGACCCCTTATTTCTGCTGGGAATACGTCCTCATCTATGTCGCCCTAAAGTTTCTTCAGGGAGGTGGCACAGGGGGTATGGGCTTGCTGAATAACCTCCGCTCACTTCTGTGGATATCTGTCCAGCAGTACACTAGCAGGGAAGTTCAGGTATGTATCTCTGCTTCTTTTCTTGTTATGACATTTAACAGCATTTACAAGAATGTACAGGGTTTTCTTGTCTCGTGTTATGGCATGATATTGATATAGTAGACTTATCACTGAGACTATCAGTGTTTGAACTATTAAAAACCACCTCAATCAAACTATAAAATAAAGAATTAGTGGAAAAGTGAGAAAATAAGGCTGTAGAAAAATATTCCTTGATATTGAGTGTAATATTGTGCCTGTGTTAATTTAACCCCTTCCCGATGGGTGACGCCGCTAGGTGTGAAAACAAACCACTCAAAAAGTGGCGTGTGTCATCATTGGGTTAACCCAATGGTGACGGATGAAGAAAACAAACAAACAAAAAAAAACCTCTACGCTCTGGCAAATAATGGTGGCGGGCTGACTTTGAACGCGTGAGTTTGGTACATCAGCCCGAATCACTGGCATGCCGCCACGGCATACAGCTGCACGCCACTTTTCGAGCGGTTTGTTTTCACGCCTATTGGCGTCACCCATCGGGAAGGGGTTAAGTAATAAATAACAACCCTCCCTGACCAGAACACAAACCCATATCATTCCCGGCATAAAATGGGAGGGCTAGTACTAAACCAATCATGCCAAACGACCCACTAAAAGGAGTGTGCAACTAGGATCTCACTAGCTCAATAGACTTTACCAATCTACTCATACTAGAGTAATGGTAGCGAGGTTTTGCACTCCCCGTGGGCACTCAGTGGAAATTGATTTAGCAATTCAAATTCAAATTCCTAAGTCAGATGTACTGAGGCATATTTATGAAAGGTAGAATAATGCAATGCCGCATTGATATCGATAAATGACAACCCTTCCTGACCAGGACTCAAACCCAGGTCACTCCAGTTATGAAACTGGAGGGCCAGTACTAAACCAACCATGCCACATAACCCACTAAAAGCAATGTGCAACTAGGATCTCACTAGCTCCATAGACATTACCTATCTACTCATACTAGAGTAATTATTAAGTAAATAATTTTTATTTGCGGTACTTCAATTTTAAATTCATTAATGTGTGAATCATTATTGATCATATGATTTATTGTAATTACAGTACCAATATATGTAATTTATAAACCAGTGCAAAATCCTATAGATTAGTATAAATGTCGCCAACTCCATGCTGCTTACATAGTAATCTTTTATTTGCAGATTCAACTGTTTTCACATCTACACAATCTGTCCCTAAGGTGGCATTTGAGTCGCAAAACTGGGGAAGTTTTACGGGTTATGGACCGTGGCACAAACTCCATCAATACCCTTCTGCAGTATATTATATTTAAGTAAGCACCATTACCGAATGCTGTTGTTACTAAGTCTTCCTTGTATGGTATTCTTGAAATTAGAATGAAATTTTGAGGAAGTTTACCATGCTATTCTTGTAAGAAGTGAATTTGGTTATTCAAATTTAAGTAGTGTATACATGGCTGAAAAGGCTGTTGGCCCGAATTAAAAGTAACTACAGTAATTATAATCACAGAGAATGTAAAAAACAATATTCAGATAATGGCTGTAGATCTAGAAAATATAGTTCTTAGAAAATTCACTCTTGATTTAGGATTTTGTAAAGAAGATAGATTAGCAGACAGTAATCTTTAGCTGTAGTGGATACATAAATGACAATGTTTCTGATTTTCAGCATTCTGCCTACAGTAATTGATATCATTGTTGCTGTCATATACTTCACAGCAGCATTCAATTATTGGTTTGGTATTATTGTGTTTGTCACCATGGCAACTTATTTAGGTGAGTCCTAGCTTGTTTCTTTTCAATTCTTTATACAATAATAGATCAGTATTGATGCATAATTGGTGTATAGAAAAATGCCTTATCTCTCCTTTCACTGGTCTCTTCCCCACCTTTCTTCCCTTATTCTAAAGTATTCTTAGTTGTATTCTTAGAAGAATGTAATTCACAGTAATGTATTCCAAAAATTCTGTTGTTGAAAATCCTCAATATAATTATCGTAACTCTTATTGATAATAATATTATTGTTAATACTCATAGTTTCAGTATTTCAATGTCACTGCTATTCAGTGCTATCATATTTGATCATTATTATTTTCATTACTATTATGAATATTCATATCACTTTTTTTTGCCATTATTAACATATTTTTGTACTGTTGTTATTACCATCACCCTTATTTTCATCATTATGGTTATTATAACTAAAATGTTGAGGTTGTTTATTATAAAAATTACCTATGGTAAGGGTTGTAATGACAATAGTAATGATGTAAATATTAACAATCAGTAGGAACCTAGTTACACTGAATGTCTGTTTATTTTTATATAGACATGTTGAGCTCTGCAGAATCTAAATACAGCCAATGAGTTTTGCAGAAAAAGAAAGGACAGAGCAAGAGAGACTGACAGTAAAAAATTGGTGATTAACTGTGGCCTTAGGTAGAAGGGATGGTGAGAATGGTTTTGTCAAGGGTAAAATTTATATACTGCACTGGTATGCTGAGGTATGCTGACCCTGGTTTGAGCTGAGGTTGAAGTTTGGGTTGGAAGCAAGGAGGCTATAAAGAAGGTTATTGCATGTGGAGTGGAAGGATATTGACTAGTTGGGTGCCTGCCTTAGTTAAATACATAGATTTGGTGAACTATTGTGCTTGCAGTCAATGGAATCACAAGGCTCAGGGAATGGAATTGAGAGGTATGATATATCACCTGAATTATTACAATATACAAGGAAAACGTGAAGCACAAAACATCAATATAGTAAAATTACATAGAATGTCAACACACTTAAACAGACCACTTTCCACCCTCATAAGTTTCAGCCGTCAAAATTGGGTGGAGCTTAGTGACGTCACCTGCCTGGCGTCAGAGCTATCCAGTCAGGACACAGAAATTCTTTCCATTTATGGATTATTTTTTATTCATTATCAGCATCAGAAGTGCAACAAAAAACTTCCAAAGCTTTTTTTTAATACACTTAAGCTTACAAATCAAAAGAAAATTCATATTTAATTTTCTGTTACCACAGACCTCAAGTGGGATAATGCTACCTCCCTTGGTTGGAAGGGTGAAGATGTCACAGGGACCAGGAAGATAGGAAGGAGACAAGGAAGCATACTGGAAAGTTCATTATATACATGCTGAAATTCTGCACCAGCATATTAGTTGGGAATGATACAGTCTTGGCAACCATTTAAGAAACAGGTTACTTTGTAAATTTGAACAAATATTGGTGAAGAATTATGATATTTTTTGCACTCTGGACATCTCGAAAGTAAGTGCTTAGAGGTCAGAGGACCTGCCAGTCATTTCTTAAATGTGACATTTTCCTCTCTGATGAAGGTAATCTGCTTGGCTGGATAATATTGATCAGATTCTTGTGCTGTCTTTCATGTTACAAGTTAATGGGACTGCATAATAAGAAGACATCAATCAGTAAGCTTGGTGGTCTGATGGGAGCAGAACTCTTTCATTTGGGATTTTTAGTATTTCAGGGATCTTTCCGAAGGATTTTTTAACAAGCTTTTTGCTTGATTAAGGACATCAGTAACTCGGAGAACAGGCTTTGAAAGTTCCAACAAGAGAGAAAGGTATACATTTACACATATGTAAAAATTCATTGGAATGGGAAAATTTGGCTGAGGGCCAGGGTGACAGGAACTTGCCATCATGAGAATTATGGCAGAAAGCCTGGGTGATAGGAATGACTTGCCACGAGTGCCCAAAGCTTTTGGAGGGTGATTAGACTCTATGGTCATGTATGAAGGTGCTTTTCTTTTATTTCCATTAATAAATAACTATGGAATGTACAATCAATAAATAACTATGGAATGTATAATCAATAAATAACTATGGAATGTACAATCAATAAATAACTATGGAATGTACAATCAATAAATAACTATGGAATGTACAGTCAATAAATAACTTAGGAATGTACAATCAATTTATTGGAATGGGAAAATTTGGCTGAGGGCCAGAGTGACAGGAACTTGCTATCATGAGAATTTCGGCAGAAGGCCTGGGTGACAGGAATGACTTGCCACAAGTGCCCAAAGCTTTTGGAGGATGATTAGACTCTATGGTCATATATGAAGGGGTTTTTCCATTATTATCATCAGTACATAACAATGGAATGTACAATCAGTGAGCCATGATTGGAAGATTGCCAGCTCCAGGGAAGATGCTTTATCCATGCTCAGGATCCGATTCCTGCCCGCTGCAACTGGCAGCACAGGTTGTATGAAAAAATTGAAATATGACTCAAATAACAGTCTTACTTATTGTTATTGCACTTAGTTATATAGAGAGATTGTATGGAGTCTAATTGCAAAGGGAAAGCATAGAGTCTTGTCAGTGCATATGATTGTCTATGTGCGCCTAGCCTACAAGCAGCACACCCATCAGAGTGGCCACTCAAGTAAGCTTAATACCCATATTTTGGGCCACATGATGGCAGTGAAGCATCTGGGTCCAATCAGTTAAAGGAGTGGAGGGGCACACATTCACCTGTCTCCCAGGGTCCACTGCTATAAGCCACATACAATAGTTATTGTTACTAATATTTTATTATTATTATTATTATTATCATTATTATCATTATTATTATTATTAATTTATTATTATTTTAACAGGCCCTTCCTGTGAAAGTACAACTACATTCTTTTCATGTTTTCTTGACAGCTATCACAATCATTATGACTGAATGGAGGACGAAATACAGACGTAACATGAATTTAGCAGATAATGAGCAGAGAGCTCGAGGTGTAGACTCCCTGCTCAACTTCGAAACTGTGAAATATTATGGTGCTGAAGACTATGAAGTAAACAGGTATAAGGAAGCTGTACTGAGTTACCAGGTAAGATAACCAGATTATGTTTATATATTGTGCTAGGACTCGATTATTGTATTCCAAATATCCATACAGATTGGAATTATACATATTAGTTATTTTGTTGTTTGCAATTTTAAAATAAATACCAAGCAATGTTGTTGTTTTTTATACATTCCTTTAGTTTCCTTCTCTCTAGAAACAGAGTAATAATCTTGAGTATTCCTAATTGCTGCTTTTGATTATATACAAAACATATATCTTAGTCTTTCTTACCTGAGTTTTCAATCTAAAATGCAGATTAGATTTATGTATTAGTAAGACTAACTGGAGGAGAATTCTTACATGACAACATTAATAAGTAATTCCCTTTTTATATTTTCCCACATTTAGGTAGAGGAGTGGAAGAGTAATGCTTCTCTGTGCTTCCTGAACACAATTCAGAATTTTGTAATTAATGGAGGCCTCATGGCTGGATCTATGCTTTGTGCCTGGATGGTAGCAAAGGACAAAGGCCTGACTGTTGGAGACTACGTTCTCTTTTCATCCTACATCATGCAGCTGTATACACCTCTTAACTGGTTCGGAACTTATTATCGTATGATTCAGCAAAATTTTGTGGACATGGAGAATATGTTCGACTTGCTAGAAGAAAAGCAAGAGATTCTGGACAAAGTAGGTTGTTTACCTAATACATATTTTGTTGTAACAAACTTGACATAAATCACTTAAAATGAATACTTAGTGCATCTTAAGAGTTGTTATACCTAAAGATATTCCAGACTCATTCACAGGAGAGACAAATATTCAGACCCAGTGGTAGCCATAATTAAATCTGCTTTGCCTTCAACAGTCAGATGCTGATGTCATGGTATTACCACAAGGCAAAATTGAATTCAAGGATGTATCATTCCATTATAGTCCTGACAGACCTATTTTGAAAAGCGTCTCATTCCTTGTGGAGCCCGGAAAAACAATTGCTATTGTGAGTAGTCTTTATCAAATGTGCCATGTGGAATGTGATTGAAATGTTTTCTGCATATCAAAATGTAATTGTATCATAAGCAGCTTATAATTTGTCGTCTTTTCAAACGCAGGTTGGACCAACAGGCAGTGGTAAAAGCACAATCATTCGACTTTTGTTCCGGTTTTATGATGTCACAGGTGGATTCATAGCCATTGATGGTAAAAATGTAAAGGACTACACACAAAAATCTGTGCGGCAGGCAATTGGAGTTGTACCTCAAGACACTGTACTATTCAATGAGACTATTTTGTAAGTATATAGTTTTGGTTAGATTTTTGGTATCATCTGTGTTATTGAACATATTTATACATGAAATTAATGTTGTGATTAAAAAAGTACATTTTTGTGTCCATTAACTTTTTATTTTTTATTTTTAAGCTATAACATCCATTATGGCAAAGTAACTGCAACAGACACTGAAGTGAAAGAAGCTGCCAAAAATGCTGACATACATGACAAGATTCTCACTTTTCCTGATAAGTTTGATACAAAGGTTAGTAAACAGTGTCAAGTAAATAACCTGTTATAAGAATGTAAAGTCATCCAGAATGCAGTTATTTCATATAGCTGGGAGCAAAAATCTGTTAGTGTCTAAAATTACACTTTCAAACATGCTTTTCTATCAACAATAACAAAAGTACATAGGCAATATCCAATGGAGAAATCAAGACAATTTTTGGCATCCAGGTGGGAGAGAGAGGCCTCAAGCTTAGTGGAGGTGAAAAGCAGCGTGTGGCAATAGCAAGGACTTTGTTGAAGAACCCAGCTTTCATTTTGCTGGATGAAGCTACCAGTGCACTTGATACACAAACAGAAAGGAATATCCAGGTGTGATAGTATTATTCTTTTAGCAATAAGTACCTGTTTAAAATTGTAGGTGTCTTTCATAAACCAAAGTATATATAGGTTTTATATCATTACTTATACTAATGTTCATAATTTATGTATGTCTGACTATATACTAATAGATATTATATATTTTTCTTTTTTTGTAGTTACTATAAGACCCCAAGACAGATGCATTTCCTCTTTTCTTAGGGATTGAGATATTCTTGAGACAAATGTAAAATTTCATGTGCTTACTCATTTTCAATTTTTTCAGGCTGCAATACAAAAAGTTTGTACTGACCGAACTGTGATTATTGTTGCCCATCGCCTATCCACCGTAATTCATGCTGACACAATTCTAGTTCTGCAAGAAGGGGAGATTGTAGAACGAGGAAGGTGAGTTGGAATGCAATTGTACTGTTTGCATTGCTTCTAATGAAGTACACAAATGATGGACTTGTATAGCTTGAACTTTTGTCTTATTTTTCATTTCAGTAATATGTTGTTTAGAACAATCTTTAACCCATTGATGCAGAATATATGTACTGTTAATTAGGGTTTTCTTTTGTGAGCTTTGTTTGCACATAGATGGCTCCACAAGTGCACAGCCACAAAGGATGCCTTTGTGGCCTCAGCAAATATTCTCTTTCCTTGAGCATTTTTGGGAAGATGCTGTTGATATCAATATTATTGTTGACATTGTGATTATTATAATAATATTAACATTATCAATAGCAATAAGCATCTGAAAATCAAGGAAAATGGTGAACAGGTGAGATTGCTATGATCAATAAAAATATTTTGGTGATTAAGTATTTGTGGTGCCATCCTGATGTACAGGCAATTTATAAACAAAAAACACAGTAGATATGGAATGTATTTTTTCCATCCTGACATCATAGGTTAGTTGTAGAATTAATTTAGATAAGTGAAAATCAGTGATAAGTGAAAATCATGTGTATTGACTTAATTAAAGAAATGCAATAGATTTGTACTAGCTAATAAGTATATAACTAATAATCACAGCTAAGAGAATTATCATTAATATTTCATTCCAGCCATGAGGATCTGATAAATAGAAGTGGAGTGTATAGCAACATGTGGCAGCAGCAGTTAGAGGCAAACAACAACACAGATGGTAATGGAAACACCAGTGTAGAGGCAGAAGGTGAGGAGCAGCCTCAGCCACCGAGTCCAGAGAAGAGTGACCAGCAGAAAACCAAATTATAACAACACTGATATCGTGATATTATATTTCTATGTTGTGCCAGTAGGCAGGAATGATGTGTTATTGATGTATATTTATTTCATGTAGTAAATTATAACTCCGTGCATATCTCTTCAAACTGCAGTTTAGTTTCTTGATATTGTGTCCAGTTTTGTCGTAGATACACTGGTAATGATGAAAGATTTAATAGTCACTTAATTATTCTTCAAAATGTATCCTGAAATTAGCAAAGAGGCTACTTATAACAGGGCATTATTATAATCTAAATGGTTTTATGATACATACAGTATAGGCTATGCAATATAGCCATAGGAAAGCATGAAACAGTTAGTAGTGAATGTTTCAGCTATTTCAAAATTGTATGTTGGTGAGGTTTTAGATTTGTTTTATGGACAGTTCAAGAGTATTGAATTCTTATGTATATAAAATTAGAAGATAAAAATAAAAATCCTCTATTTTACTATGATGTGCTTTTGTACCTTTTGGTGTGATCAAATAGTAATTTTGCAGTATATGTTCAAGAAAGGGAATTGGAGCCAAAACTATTAAGTGTGACTTTACCAATATTTACAGGAAATGGCCATGTGCTAGTTATGATAGTTATTATGATATGATCATCACCTTAAGTGATTCACATAATGAAAATAATAATAATCATTACAATAATGATAATTGAAAAAAAAATCCATAGCTACTGTTTTCTGCAACTAAATCCTCTTACCTAACACTGGATTTTTTTTCCCCATGCTCATCCAAGAAATTTTTGTTCATTTAATTAGCTTTCCTTTTATTTAGATTTCTGCTCTCTGGAATTATGTCAGACTGAAAAAAATACTCAAGACTGCAAAAGTCCTCAATTGATATGGAATGTCTGTTATCTATTTTTTCATCTCAGTCATGAAAATCATTATATTTCCAGTTATTTTTTGTGTCAATTGTCTTTTGATTTTCTTTCTTTTCCTTGCATTAGTGATGTATACGTTTTTATCTATTTACCTATTAATTAATATAATAAAACAACCAATGATTCGGCCAGCCCACCAGTTGGCGCATATGCCAAAACAGCTTTTAACCCATTCGCCTCGGATTTATGTTCTGTCCACTGTAGGTTTTGGTGAATTTTGTTACCTACAGATGGCTCCACGTGTGCTTAGCCGGCAAGGAGTCTATCAGTAGGCCCTAGTTACCGACCCTGATTTTCCCATTTATTGAATTCGCGGGAAAATTAATACGATTGCTATCGATACTGTTATTAATGTTATTGATGTTATGATTATTTAATTGTCATTAGAATATTTTTAAACAATGAAATGATCCCCCCAAAAAATCCTAAAGTGAAGGAAAAGGGTAAACAGGTGAAAAAGGTAGTTCTTGATAACTGGCTTAAAAAAATCAACAATTGTGAGTTCTCGATCTCGTTATTGCAGACAGTATTAATCATCAAATTGTTATTTTGGTGTAAATTTGGAAATGACGCCTAACACCGATTTGCCGATGACCCACATGTTTTCCCAAAAGTTCCAATAGTAGTTGTGTTTCGAACGAATGTGGGAGGGCATAATTCGCATAATAATGGCATAATAAGCCGAAGGTTCAGTTTCGCGGCCTCGACGAAGAACCGATGGTGGACCGATGTCTGTCTTTTCTGTTATGTCACGGTGTCTTATAGTTCGGGCACTGCGAGATTTCGCGGGTATAATAAACGTTATTTCGCAGATATTTTGCTATGAAATCAACATAGATGTTATCACACTCGGCAAACAGCTTAGCCACGGTGGAACTGATATGAATTTCAACTGCTGCCTTCTAGCCCCAGCTTCCATTGTCACCTGATGATCTATTTCATATCTGATTGCTTCTCTTGTGCTGGATGTTACTGCTTATGATCACGTCACGTTCTGTGCAAATCTAATTGCCTCATTTGATTTCCCTCGCTTACGTCGTGCGCTAGTCGTCCGTCTGACTTTCCGTCGCTTTCAATGAGTCATTTTGTCGCGGCGCTGGAGGTGTAAGATTGCTGCGTTTCCTGGGTTTTACACCTTTATTACCGTTATTATCAATTTGATAAGAAAATGATATAGAAGAAAAGTTAAAGAATTACAACTTGGTAAGCTCAAATTCTGTATGTGTGTTAGTCGTCATTTCCAATAATCCTTTTTTTTTGTTTTCGTTTGTTTGTTTATTGTCATTTAGCGTCTGTAATTAAGATTGACACAATTAAAATTGTTTATCCATACACCATAGACTTACAAGAAAACGAGAACGTTCTATTATCTTCATAATGGTTAATGGTTAAAAGCAAAAATAAATGTGCTAGACATCTAAGGTCATGTAGCACTATAGTAAATGTTAGTAAAGGGTGGTTAAGTTAGCGATTAGTTAACAAAGCTGGGCAAAGGAATTGGTGAGTGAATGGGTTAAGGTCGGGTGAGGTAATGTAAAGGGGTTAGATTAAGTGAGGGATATTTATGTGTTTGAGAGGAAAACAGGTTGTCGAAGGGAGAATAGGTGGGGGGGGGGGGAAGCAGAGCTACAGGCTGCTTCAAAGCGTGTGCATGATAATAGAATGTGTGAGACTGAAAGAGGAACATTACATAAAGAGCATAGGGTTGGATCGGATTGCGACATCAGATAGGGGTGTGTTAGACGGGTGTGGAAAGGGATGCTTGTGATATAAGGGATTCATGTGTGTATCCAGGAGGGAGTGGAAGGGATAGAGGGGATGGTGGGAGGGTTAATGTGGGTGGGGTTGGAGTTGGGGGGGATGGGTTGTGTTGGGAGGGGGTAGGAGGATAGGGTGTAGGGGGGATATCGTTAGGAGGAGGATGGATATCGGCAGTCACTTGGTGTGCGGAGGAAGCAGGAATTGTAGGATTTGAAGGTTGATGGGGGTCAGTTTTCATTAAGAAGTCTTGGATATTTTCAAGAGTTTCTTCAATTGAGTTGGTTGGGGAGTTTTGTGGGATAAAGGATTTCTTGTGAGGGGGGGAAGAGAATGCTGGTGTCTCAAGAGAGTTTTGGGGGATAAAGGATTTCTTGTGAGGGGGAGAAGAGAGGACTGGTGTCTCAAGAGTAGGGGCAAAGGATGATGGAGGTGATTGTGTGGTAGGGGAAGAGGGGGTGGAACGTTTGTTCTGTCTGTTACGGGGAGTGCGAGGAGGGAGAGGGGAAGGTATTGGGGTTGTAGTGGTGATTGGGGTATCTGTAGTAGAGATTGGAGTTTCTGGATTTAGGATGGCAAAAGAGTTTGACTGGGGAAGGTAGGTGGGGTTAGTGGGGGGGTTAGATGTAGGAGGGGTGGGTTTAGGAGAAGTGTTAGAATGAGCAGTATTACTGGAGTAAGGAGTAAGAGAGAATCCACGTCGACGTGCTTCCTGTCTGGCTTCACGCAGTGTGAGTCCGAGTTTGAATCTGAGAGTTGCTACCTCAGATTCAAATTTGTAGGTGGGACAGCCCCTATAAAATACATTATGGGGGCCGCCACAGTTGGCACATGTGCGTGATTGTGCAGAGCAGTTAGATCGGGTATGGCCAGGTTGGGCACATAATGGGCATCTGGCTGTGGAACGGCAGTGTTTGGCTGGGTGTCCTAGACGCCAACAATTTTGGCACTGACGTGGAGGAGGTTGGTATGGACGAACAGGGAGGGATTCTCCTCCTATGTAGACGTTAAAGGGAAGGTCATGTCTACGGAAGGTAATTTTGGCTATGTTAGTGGGTTTCTTTCGATGACCTCTGGGGGGGATGGAGTAGCATTGTACTGATGTTGCATCGTAGTCTGTGAGACAGGCAAGTAGATCTTCTCCACAATCTGACCAATCTTTGTCATAGATTGGGCAATTTGCTGGTGAGATTGAGACTGTTCCGGTGCAAGTATTGAGGGTTGGATGGGGTTCTGCTAGGATGGGGTTACCGTATAGGTCAGTTAGTTTTGTTAATGCAATGGCTTGGTTTTCGGATGTTACTGTTACAAGACGGGAGCGGTCGGGTCGGCTACGGAAAGAGACTTTACCTACTTGTTTTTGGAGGCATTGTTGGAAGAGAAGGGTGTTGTCAGAGTAGGGAGCTGTGGGAGGGATCACGAAAAATCGGTCCCATTTGGCTGCACTAAAGAGAGTGTTCAAGATTGTTGTAGGGGTGGTAGAGGGGCGGGGGCGTGACGAAGATGGAGTAGTGTTGATGGAGGTAGTGTTACGGAGAGGTGGGCAATAAGGCTGTAAGGTAATAAGGGAGGATGGAGTGGTTGATGTTGGAGGTTGTGGGGGTAGAGGTGTTGAAGTTGAGCTTGTTGGGAGAGTGGAAATGTTCCTTGAGGGTTGGTTGTTGGCTATTGTACTATTAGGCATTGATGAAGGGGTATTTATTACAGTGTTCGGAGCCGTGGTCAAAGGAGAGCCTGGGGTCTGGGAATCGGGTGGGTTTACTTCGTTGGGGCTATTTGATAAAGGGGCAAGCCTCATTGCCCCTAATAGTGGAGATAGATTTTCATTATTGGCCATGGTAAGCCTGGATGATGTTGGGGATAAAAACAGTCCACCCCTCAGGGTCCCCTTAAGGGGTAAGGGCTAGAACTAAATCAGGGGAATACCGTGCCCATGGCTCCCTCAGGCCGTTCAGGACTGGCACTAAGTCAGCCTTTCATCCTTTCAGCACGGCTCTCACACCTTAGGAGGTGGATAGCAGAAGGGTTTGGTGAAGGGATAGAAACAAAAGTGGGAAGGGAAAAAGGCCATGCATAATTAGTTGAGTCGAGGGCTGAGTCCCAAGGTTGGGGAGTTCCCATCATTGGGTCCCAGTCTCCGCCTCCTAAGCCCCCCCACGACAACAACGGGCAAGGGATTGGGGGGGTATTATCTTCATAGAAAATAAGATATTTCAGGGGAAACATTTTTTGGATTTCCTCACTATCAAGCAGAGTTAAATAGAAAGGCAGAATGACATAGTATCAATTCCCTGAATAAAATATAAGTAAATAATTAGCAGTTGCAATTTTACACAGAACATGAATTACTGTATTACTGAACACACACACACACGCACACACACACACACACACACACACACACACACACACACACACACACACACACACACACACACACACACACACACACACACACATATATATGTATATACATACATATATATATATATATATATATATATATATATATATATATATATATATATATATATATATATATATTTAGAAATTAATATATGCGTACATACATATATGTGTGTGTATTTGCATACACACACACACACACACACACACACACACACACACACACACACACACACACACACACACACACACACACACACATACACACACACACACACACACACATATATATATATATATATATATATATATATATATATATGTATATATGTGTGTGTGTGTGTGTGTGCGTGTGTGTATGTATATATGTATATATAAATATATATGTGTGT